TATTTTTCTAAACTGTTAATTCTCTTCTTTCTCTTCTCTTGCCCCATTTTTAAGAGCTGAGTACCTTTAAAATATTCCACTTTGGGACTCTTCCACTGGCATTCTTGTATTGTCGAGCGGCAGAGACACGCACTTTAACTAAGCCTTGGTGTGCTTTCAAGCATGATTTTCCTTTGCACATATAGAATGAGTACTCTGCAAATGCACAGCCAAGGTTATGCTTGCACAGAGTGCAGCTGTCACACTGTGGTTCGCTTGCAAGGGCTGAGGCCAGCACCACACAAGCTGTGAAGTTCAGTACTCAAACGTGTGGAAGCTATTGCAAACATCATAACTGGTCATGCAAGTCAGCTGACATTCCATGTTTTTGTGCATTTACACATGTCACTTTTCTGACAGTCATCACTCCTAAGCCAACCTAGCCTGTTCTGGGCCAATTTCTCTTTTAAGATGATGAATCTTTTTACTGTGTCTTATAGGAGACAATTTTTTTCAGCCTATGCTTGTCAATATCTTAATTTCATCTATATCCAGGAAAAATAATTTTTAAAGATGTATATTTTTGTATTTATGGATTAATCTTCTACTTTAAGCCACTGAAAGATGACATTTCATTATTCTTTCCTTCCACTTGATTTAATAAAAAAATCAGTTTTGTTTGACTCATGTATATACATATATGTATATGTATACACACACATACCGATATATTGTCATCTTTCAGTAACTGCTTCCAGTACTTATTTCTTTTATTTTTCAGAAAGTACAATTTGCATAAGAATTGATTTGGAAGCAGTGCTGAAGTTCTGGGTCTCCTCAATTTTGAAACATTCCTGCATGATTTTATCTTTTGTCTTCTTTTTTGCTCACTTCTTGCAATCATAGATAAGCATGTGTTCCTAAAATATGAAATGTTGCCCAGGCTCATGAACTTTGTGTGTTGCTATGTGCCTGCTGTTCTTTGTTTAATAGCTTTTGGGTTCTCTTCAAGTAAGAGACTGTTCCTGCCATTCACCTCTCCATGCAGCCTCCCCACTGAGTCCTCTGACTCCATTGTTCATCTTCATGTGCAGTCAAATGTGGTTATTTTCTCATTTGCACATGCGTTTTTCCACATTCTCCCCACATTCTAGCATAGTATTTTGAAATCCTGTATATTTATAATATCGGAGCTTTCTGTCTTAGTTTATTACTTGTGTATGGATCACATCTTCTCCTTTCTTCATTTGCCTCATAATTTTTGACTGTGTGAAAGGCAAAGTTTGAGGTAAGAAGCAAACAAAAAATGCTTTGAAATCGACATGAAAGACCAGCTGACAGTGTGCTGTTAGTCCTGATTTCAAAGGGCACCTAGCCTCCCATGGGAAATGAGGCACCCACATTTGTAATTTACATCTAACCTGAACCAAAATGACTATAGCTTTAGTAACTGAGCTCACTGTGAGCTTAAAATATTTCAAGTTATAGCTGGGATTTTCCTTTCAACTGCAGGCAAGGATTTAGAGAGCTTTTTATCCTTTACTATAAAAACAAGCAAAAAGAAAGAAAGAAAGAAAGAAAGAAAGAAGGAAGGAAGGAAGGAAGGAAGGAAGGAAGGAAGGAAGGAAGGAAGGAAAGAAAGAAAGAAAGAAAGAAAGAAAGAAAGAAAGAAAGAAAGAAGGAAAGAAAGAAAGCAAGCAGAAAACCCTCCCGGCAGGTATGGTATGAGTGCTAAATTTAAAAGTTGCGCTTACTTCTTTGACATCTAAAACTGAAAGGCCTAGGACTGCCTGACCACGAGATCCTTTTGTCCCTTCTGCTCCTCATGATAAGGTTCCATGGCCTTGCCTTCCCTTTTATCAAGAAGACCAGGCACAGTTCCCACTTGTCACTAAGGAGTGGCTTTCAGGAGGCTGTAAGTACGCGAAACTAATGAAACAAGCTGAGCTCTCCCACTTTCAAGACTGGGTACACCCACCCTCCTTGGTAAGAGCTGATCTTACCTTTCTGTGAAGGCAGGGACACCATTCTTCACGTGACAAAGTCTGTGAAGTGTTTTGTCGGCAGGGAAGTCTCTCACAGTGCCGCTTACGAAGCACTATCACTTCCATTGGTTCACTGTTGGCTGCTAAGTGAGCCTGAGAATGGGATTCCTCTTCTACTTGCAGACCAAAACCAGGTCGTTAGAATGTCGGATGGGGCTGGTGAGACATCTCAGTGGTTAAGAACACATGTTGCTCTTGTAAAGGACCTAGTTTTGGTGATTAGTGATAGCTTTCTAATGGGATTCTAGTACCATTCTGCAGAAGTAAATCACACCTGGCATTATAAACCTAGTCAAAGTTCATGCTGAGAAGGCCATAGGCCCCAGGGAATAACTTATTACCACTGTTTTGTGAAATTGACATGGTGTTTGTCTTAGTTGGGGTCGCTATTCTTATGATAAAACACCATGACCAACTTGCTTACAGAAGGTACTCTGCACATGCCCTGCAACTTAACACAAGTCAGAGCTATCAGAGGAAGGAGCCTCAGCTGAGGAAACGCCTGAAAGAGATCCAGCTGTATGGTATTTTCGCACTTTGTGATTGATAGAGGAGGGCCCAGTCCATAGTGGGTGCTGCCATCCCCAGGTTGGTAATCCTGGATTCTATAAGAAGGTGAACTGAGCAAGCCATGGGAAGCAAGCCAGTTAGCAGCTTCCCTCCATGGCCTCTGTATCAGCTCCTGTCTCTGGGATCCTTCTCTATTTGAGTTCCTGTCCTGACTTACTTCAGGGCTGACCAGCAATGCTGAAGTGTAAGCCAAATAAACCGTTTCCTCCCCAACTTGCTGTTTGGCCATGGTGTTTTTGTCACAGCAATAGAAACCCTAAAGCTACCAAAAGAGAAACACAAACACCTACCTTCCCTTTCTTCCACCCCCACTTCTCTCCCTCCCTCTATCACTCCTCTCTCCCTCTTTCTGCCTCTCCACCTTCCTCTCTCTCCCTCCTTCATCAAGATCCCTTCCTTTATCCAAAAGAAGTAATATGCTACGTTTTCTTCAGTCCAGGAGATTTTTCCCTTAACTTTTTAATGCTTATTAATCAGTCTGAGAAAGCAGAGCTTGAGGTCTGGCCTTTGATGGTTTCTGTAGTGTAAGCATTTTATGAGTAAGGACTGATCCATATCCCAGCATGTAAGCTAGGCATTCTTAGGTCAGTTACAGCACAGCAGGGCTTAGCAGATCAATAACAACATACTAAACCTTTAGCCTATTGATCACAAGGTCACTTTAAGCCTGCACGGGGACAAGTACAGGTATTATATTGGTCAATATCTCGCAGGAGATGAAAAGCAGTGTTCATTGCCATTCAATCCTATTACCATTTGCTAGCTAGGTGGCATCAGGTACGGATCTGGAAATTAGTCCTTTACCACCAACATTCACTTACTGTGGCTAGGATTGAGTGGTCTTTTAAACCACTGGAGCAAACAAATAAAGCAATGAAAGGAAACAACATATCACTGTTCCGTTGTGCAAATGTTCAGCAGTGTCTGGGCTATTTCTATTTCTACAGGATCTAGCATGGTGGACATTAAATTGTGCTTGAAATAGAAATGCTCTCGTGGAGGTTTGCTGAGTTACTGCCCTGCTATAAACTAACTTGGCTTGTTCCTATCTCTTCTAAGCGAGGCTTCTATGAAATCTGTTTTGTAGGACTAAGAACTATATTCACAGGGTCAATTTCTGCAGTTTGGAGCTCTTTTGCCTCTGGGGTCCCCACTCTGCTCTTATGGGTACGTTTTCTGGATTGTTCTGTTTTGTAGTCAAAGTCAGAGTTAGAGCTGCTGGCTTCTGAGTCTTGGTTTAACTCACATTGTACCTTACAGTCTCCAGCAGGTCAACAATGTAACTCACATTGTACCTTACAGTCTCCAGTAGGTCAACAATGTAATCATATAAATCAACCACAAAACTGGAGGCTAGAAAATGTACCCAGACAAGTATTTGGTAAACCAAGGGAGATTTTTCTGGTTTATTTTGAACCCTGGTATCCTGACCATAACTGGGGACAAGAACACGTATCTATAATGATTTATAACAAGTATGCAGCATATCCACTTTCCTAATTCTTAAAAAAGTCTATTCTGTGGTCAACAAAATACAGACCACACATAAAGAAATGCTGGGTAATTCTTGATCTGATCTTTTAGAGTTCCAATACCTAAGAGTAAGTTTCTCCAAAGACTTGGAATTTTAAAAGATTGCATGAGTAAATGTGTGTATGTCACAAACTGTGGTAATGTTAATTTGTCTAGTGTCTGTTAGGAAACTTTCCAGAGAACAGGGCTTAGCTGAAGCCTATTTCAAGGCATCCTGGAAAAATTAACTCATATTTCATAAAGGGTCTTTACTTCAAAAATATCCTTTAAAACTTTTCTTTTAACTGGATTTTCAGTTACCTAAAACTCCTCTGGTTTTAGTTTATAGCAATAATGTGACTTTCCACAATTTAATGCATCTTATAAGCCTTCTTTCATTTATCAATGGTAAAATCCTAATCAAACACCATCATTCACAGATATGAGCTGAAAAGCACAAATATTAACTCCTGGGCATTCATTCTGTTATTGGTATCACTGATATAAAGATTTTAAGGCCAAAATTTACAATGGATTTCTTGTATGCCTTTATATTTCATTTTTAGATTTTGTATTCCCTAGAATTGTAGAGATTGACTTTTAGTAACGATCCAACTGAGACATATTTATAAAATATATTCTTCCCTCAACACAGGAAGGAGTACAAAAATGACAATTGTGTGCTAGTGTGTGTGCCCGTGAGTATGCATGGCTCTCCGGGTGTGGCACAGAGGGAAGAAAATCTCGACAACATTTTTTTTCTTGGTTTCCTGATACTGTAGAGCAAAATATTAAACTCTTTCATCAAGCCTAAGAAATTCCACCCTCCACTGCCAATGGGAAGTGTTTTTGCAAAGGCAGAGGTACTTGAGCGTACCTGGGAAAAGGAGCGTGACTTCATGGTTTCCCCTGGCTTTTCCTGGTGATGATTGTCTGTGTTTTCCCCTCTTCCCTTAGCTTCTCAGAGGTCCTTTACCACATCCATTGATCCATCCTAGGAGGGTCACAGATCGCCGCACAAGTACAGAAACAGGAAAACTGGCTTCCTGAGCACACTGTAAACACAGAAACCTGTTTCCTCTGCACCCACCAGATTGTCTAGACCCAGTTTCAGTACGTTTGTGCAGAAGTGGCTATCGGGAAGACTGGAAGGTCTTTGTCTCTCAGTTCCACATGGAATTTTGTGCCTAAATCCACTGCCATGAAAGGACTGCAATTGCTTGTCTTGCTCTCCAGTTTATGGGGAGGGGTCTTGGGGCTTACCAACACCCCGCATTCAAGGACTGCACCTGAGGAGGAAAACTCCCCACTGACTCTGAACTCTACTTCAGCTCCTCAAAATGAAGTACTGAGCCTCCCAGAGCTCTCTGCCACTCACAATCCCCCTTCTAAGGCAGCTGCAGCTCCCGAGAGACCTTCGGAAGACATTCTACTACAATCAACACTGCAGAACTCTGAGACAAGAGAGTCAGCTGAGGGGAGAAGCCAAACACCCACACCCCTAGAGAAGACAGGGGCAGTGATGGCACCACTGCCTCTTGCTCTCCAGAGCAAACCCATCATGAAATCCGGCACAGGAGCAGGGATGGTGGAGCTTGCTAATGCCACATTGAACTTCCTTCAGAGTTTTTCCAGAAAGCCCAATCAACAAGCTATCTCCCTCAAGTCGGCTGGAGACATGGGGAACAGGTCCCCAAGGGAAACGCACCTCAGCAGAAGTGGCAACATCAGAAGTCAAAGACCCAGCTATCAAAAATCCAGTTTTGAAACAACTAGAGGAAAGTAAGAAACATTCTCTTTTTTGTTCTCTTTCTGACTGTGGTCTAGACATTTGTAAGCTAGCAGTCTGAAGCCTCTCATGCTCACAGAATTGTGCAAGGTTCATAGCATCACGTTGTGGTTGGTAGTGGTTTCAAAACTGCAGTCGTGACCTTAGGGAAGGGAGACGAGAAAAGGACAAATGGCTAAAATCTCTTTTCCACTTGCTCAGAATCAGGGACACCCATATGCCACTGTGAAAGAGTGGAAAGCCCACTTAAGAGAATTTAGCTATCTGTGGCTCACAGAACAGTTGTCCAGAAAATCCGATTTCTGTTGTCAGAAGTGTGATGAATCAGAAAGCAGGCTTTTCAGCTTGATTTAAGGTGGCAGCAATCTGAATTACGGAAGTCAAATAAAACTAAGTATTAAGGGGCTTTGTAAGAAAAGTCCCAAATGGGCCCAAAAACAAAACACAGAGAAAACATATGCCTAAGCAAGTAAATGTTTTATTCACATATGATGTGGTCGTCTGTGTATTTAGAGGTACGAGCCAACCTTGTTAATAATTTTACCCATAGTGAAGCAGTTTCAAGAGTCTAAATTGAGTTACATGTTATGCCTATAATACAATAAAACTTAACTTCAAGATGGTAGTTCCCACCTGCTGGCTGAAAGCTGTTTTGAGCAAGCTGGTGACTGGATAACCTGAGGAGCAAGAGGTAGAAAGTTAAAGCCAACGCATCTGAGTGTCCGGGTTCCTGTAAGTCAAGTCTATTTATAAAATCCCAAGGTCATAAAACTTCAAAGATAAGTATCATTTTAGCTACAAATTCACTTGGAAATTGGAATAAACCAAATTAACTCTGAAATAAATGTTACCAGCCATGTTTAATTTGGGACGAGTGGAATTTTGATCCACAACAGCTCGCACATATCCTACTTACTAAGAAGTTCCCTAGTAACTAATAATAATGGCAAATGCTATCTACTGAGAATCTTCTAAATTGCTTTCATCTATCATTTCTATTTATCATGTTTTGTTAGTTTCTGTAACCTAATTTTCTTGAATTTCAATAGAACTCTTTAACAGTCCTAGGAAATGATTTTGAGCTTTTCATACGTCTGTAACTGGGAGAATTTTGGTGATAGAATAGGGAGCCAATAAAGCATCTGAAAAGACAAACTAAAGCACCATTTATAGAAGAAGTATGTATCCTTTTAGCACAATTAAAATTACTACTTAACTATTTTATATATAAATATTAGACTTGACATTAGAGTTGATATTCGCCTTTTAATTAATGGTACTTATTTTAGCTAAGGCCTTTCCCCTCAACCCTTGGGAATACTTACTTTTTGATCATTGTTTATGAGTGTCCAGCATGTGCCTGGAACTCTTCCAGGCTTTAAACACACAAAGAATTTGAATGTCCTCCTACCTCTGTGAATATTTGCTACAAAAAGCAAGCATCACTATATCTACTGAATTTCCTAACATCAACATGTGTTCCAAGAAAACCACATATGAACTGCAACTAACTGAACAGCACCTTACCCTATGGATTTCCCACTGAGAATAATCTTCAATTGTTTCTACAGTAAAAAAACAATTGACTTAGAAATTCTATTGTTTGGGGGCCTAGAGAGCCCAGGCTTTTCCATCTACTCAGACTAAACATTCTACTCATTAGACCATCCAAATGACAGTGGCATGAAAGAAAAGCAAGGTCTCTCTCTCTTTCTCTCTCTCTCTCTCTCTCTCTCTCTCTCTCTCTCTCTCTTTCTCTCTCTCTCTCTCTCGCCACAAAGATCCAAAGACTCGAGTTGAAAGAAGGTTTCCATGGTTTGATTTGATTAACAGTAACTTATATGGCATCTGTGTGTGTTTGAACCAGTTAACCACTATATGTAACAATAACTCCATAACAAACGGAAGATTCTATCATGGTGTCTTTTTGAAGAGGTTAAATATTTGACTTAAAGTTATTTACTTAGTAGATCTCAGAGCAAAGAGATGGCTGAGCTTTAGAGGCTTGGTGGCCCCTGGTGTATTCCCTTAGCAGAAGAGGGGACATCATCTCAAGTGAGAAGACAGAAGAAGTGTCTCATTTCTCTGTTTATGAATCTCATGAGCTCTTGGCTGCCTCCAGAATGTATTTCAGATTATTCATACAACCTTGCACATATCCCCCACCCTTATCTTCTACCACACCCTGCCTGTCAAATTTTTAGTTCTTTGGTCCACAATATCTTGTACCTTCATTTCCTTTTTCTCTGTCCAGATAGCATGGTCTTTCCCTGTTCTCTATTCCTTTTACACCCAATGGCAGCCTTCTTGAGCAGTTAGATAGCCACTCTAATGCCCGCTATGGTTCTCAATCTTCAAAGAATTTTTTCTTTTCACTTTTTTTGTTTGTTTTTTAACTTTTTTGAGACAAGGTCTCTCTGTGTATCCCTGGGTGTTTTGGAACTCACTCTGTAGACCGGGCTGGCCTTGAACTCACAGAAATCTGCCTGCCTCTGTCTCTGAATGCCGGGATTAAATACTGCCTGGCTCAGAGAAGGATTCTCACAAAGAACTCAAGAACTCTATGCACATAGGAACCTCCTTCCAGTGTTATTTAAATCTCTACTATGTTAGGTGCATGACAAGTAATCACTCTGTGCTCTGGCCTAGGTGATATGGTGCACATAAGAAAGCAGAGAAGAGAATGGGAAATTGGGGTTCATATGTACGTAGAGCTATTCCCAAGAAGTACTTCTCAGTGAAAATAAACCCTGGGTGGTCTAGGACAAGCACATTGTACCTTTATCACTCTGTCATGTTTGGAATTTAATAATAATTCTTAGTAAAAGGGGATGCTTGTATGAATGATAGGTTCCTTTCAGCAAGATTCCTCTGAATTATTTTTGTCTGACTTGGTTCCCCTTTAGCATTCTGGGGGGCTGTAGCTACATGAGATCTGTGGTTTCCTGCCAGGCAGAAGGGGTGTTTCTAAATGACTGAGCACATTGAAATAGGCACAAAAAGATGAAATTAGTACTAGGGCATTTATATGTAGGACAGACATTTGCTGGGCATCCATTGTGTCCTCAACACAGTGGTCATGGCAAACTTCCCTCACCCTGCACCCTCATGAGACCTAAGTCACAGGGTGACAGGTGTGAGCAGGAAAGGCAGTCTGTAGCGACTGAGTGCTGGTGCCAAATGTAGCATATATGTGAGTGCAACTGAGGAGAGTGAATTGGGGTACATGGCTATCCATTCTGAATGGCTCAGTCAGCTGTGACTAAGAATAAGAGACCAAATGAGGTGCTATAATCCAGCTACCTGCTTAGCTTATCCTATATCAGACCTACTTCACACAAGGTTTCCAGTGGTTGTCATCTCGGTGAGCTAAGCTGCTTCTGTAAATGGAGGCCTCAGTAGATCCTCTACACTTCCCTCTCTCTACAAACATTATCTCATCTATCAGCAAGTCTCTTCTGCCTCTCGTGGTTTCCACATCACTCTGCCTCTCTCCATCTTGTACTAACCCTGCCCTTGTAAGTCACCAGTCTCCATTCCTGACTTCCAACAGTATTCCACTCCTTCGCCCCGCCCTCCAAACGGTGAGAGTTCATTTAAACAAGAAAGGCCAGCTAGTGTTCTTCACTGGACATAGTTTCTCTTCCTGAAGCCTGAAATGAATATCTCAAGTATTGATGTGAAAAGAGGATTGTGCCATACTCTTAGAATTTGTTTATCGTCACACACTTTTGAAAACCTAAAATGAAAAATAAATGAAACTGACTTAAATAAGGAGTTGGAAAAAGTTACTGTGTGGTCCACTGTACTTTTCAAAATACATTCTGAGTTCTCAGAGAGGTGTTTCTCAGAATCAGGAAGATTTGGAGTCTCACCATGCCCCTTCACACAGGACATCTGGTTTGAATCCTCCAGGCAAATGCTTGTGGACTGAAAAAGTTAACATCCATGTTTCCAGGATGTCATAGGTTTGGGGGTGCTGTTTGTTTTTCCGGAGTATTCCTTCTTCAGGGTCTAGAATGAAGGGGTCCTTTTCCTCTTCCAACTTTAGTGTGATGTCACTTCATCCAAGAGACTTCAGTGCCCTGCTCCTTCCACATCACACCCATAGTTTCCCTTAGCATACTCACCTGTGTCTGCAGACAGCCTCTGTGCCCATTTTGTTTCTCGTGAAAGCAAGGACTTTACCTATATTACTGGTAATTCTATTCACTGCATGGAACAAAGAAAAAACTCAAGGGTGCTGGGAGTGATGGGTTGCTGTATGGTTTGGGAGTCAGATGAGAAATCAAAACTCAGAGGTAGAAATTTGGAAAACGTTAGTGAAGAGAAGTATTTCAGGTCATGGATGTGGATGGTCCTGAAAAAGGAGTTTGAAAATAAGAATTAAGAAAAGGATTGGAGCTTTTTAGGGAGTATAAGCTGGCCTTCAACTTGCTATGTTGCCCAGGCTGACTTTGAACTCCTGATTCTCAGCTATGATATGCCTAGTGCTGGATGGACAGGTGTGTGTCACCATACCTGATGCTACTGTGTTTGATAGTCTAATAGTGACAGGTGTCTGCATTGGAGGTTTTAAATGAATGGCCATGGAAAGGAGAAGAGAAATGAGTAATAAACATACAGCAAGAGAAAAAAATAATTCAAAAATACTGTTGAAAAGGAGTAAAGCAAGAACTGAAAATACCACAATTTCAGTCATGTGATATAGTTTAAGTGAGATCCTTGCTCCAGCCTGAGTGACCTGCCTGTGAGAGATTGTGAAAAAACAGGTGACAATAATGGAGAGGGGGTGATTAGAAATTAAATCTTATCCAGACAGGTCTCTATTTTCCCTGATGCCTTAAGTCCACACAGTGTTTGAAAAGTTACAGTTAAGACTGAGGACATCGGCACATTCAAAGGAGATTAATGCACATTGCAAAATGCCAGAAACATCAGGTCAGAGAGGAAAGCTCTCATCTTGTTGACAAACAGGTACCTCCATTATGTC